CTAGTCAATCGTGCAAATAAACAAACAACATTATCTCGTTAACCTAACCCTTGCAAATCTGTTCCACCTTCCCCACCCACCAACCACTTCCACTATCGATTTTCCTCTTCGCCGATCCGTCCATCTACGCCAGAAAAAGAAGGAAAAAAAAAAAAAAAGGCTGAGAATTTTATTACATAGATAAAACCTCCTTTATTGTACTTTTTAATAACAGCGGCTTAGTATCCAGTTTTATGTTAATACTAATATCCTCCCCTGGACTTTTTGAGATTGGTATATCTACACCCATTCCATTATTTTGAGCCGAACGTAGTGGGCAAATTTATCAAAATACCCAACTTTGACCCTTTGAATATTAAATTGGTTTTTTAAATTTGCCCTTACCTAATATTGAATTTTATTATTTTTCTATCTTTTCTACTTCTTTTCTATCAATTCTTTGTGTTTCTTACAATTTTTTGTGTTTTGAGAAAAATATTGCATATGAATTGTGGTGGATGTATGGATCAAAGCGGGTGGGTTGAGGTGGTTGAGAGTCATTATGGATTCTAACCCACTATTCAACCATAATATAGATGATTCACTCTTCTCAAGTTACTAGTAAGCATGCATGTGCTTTGCACATATCAATTCTAGATGATGATAGTTATAGTAATAATATATTCAAAGTTTCCTATAAATTTTATGTATTTTTTATTTTTATATTTTTTATTATTAATCAAATACAGATTGCAAAATCCATAATCTAATTACATAAACACCTCATCCAAATATGTGATAATCGGATCGAATTGTGAAATTTCAAGTATCATTGAATGGTCTATCTACTTTGCTAGACTTTTCTTTTTGTAGTGTTTTTTTTTTCTTTCTGGTGTATCTTTTTTCTTTTGTTCATTTATCAAAAAACTATAAGATTTAAATAAAGGGAATTGAATGAGGTGAAAAGTAGTAGTTCAATTTACAATTTAAACCTTATAATTAAATAGAGACTAAATTCAAAATTGAGTATTTTAGTCAAAAGAAAGTTCCACAATTTTATTCATATTTTTAATACTAGTTTAAATATAGAATTATAGGCGTGTTCAATTTTTCTACAATTTTTTTTTTATTTTTCTATATAAAAATAATTCCAATATATCACACTTACTTTTTATTTAATATGATAAATATGTGATATTGTACATGTGCTTGAATGATTTTTTTTGCAAAATTTGTGTATTTTTATATTTTATTAATTTTTATTATTTATTTGTTATATTAAAGGTTAACACATTTAAACCAAAAGTTGAACCATTTATTATTATTTTTTATATTTCCTTTTTAGTTAATTCTAAATAATGTATTTCATTTTCATTATCAATAAAAATAATTCTTATTTATTACACTTATTTTTTAATTTAATTAATAAAAATATCATAAATGTGCCTAATTTTTTGTGATTTGCTATATATATTTTAAAAAATTACTACCTAAGTATGACTTCATAAGTTGATCTATTTGATTCAGATTGTTGAATTGCTTAGCCACCACTTGGATAAAAAATTGTTTTGTTTTCAAGTCAATTTTAAAATATATGGGTTTATATTGTTAGAAATATTGACATAGATCTAATTAGTAGCATTTATTAGTGAAATATAACTTACAAATATAGGATTTAATAAGAGAAAATGAGATTTAATACCTTAAGTAATAGTTGAAGTTACATTTTCAATCCTTACAATTATAAATTGATTAAATACAAAAGTATAGGCATTTTAGTAGACATTAAAGCTAAAATAAAATGAATTTTATATTTTTTCTCAAACAAAGAAGTAAAGGGTTTGCACATGGCAATTCTAGATTATGATAAATGTAGTAATAATATATCCAAATTTTTCTCTAAACTTTATGTATTTTTTTATTTTATGTTGTTACTTTTTTGTTTTTTATTTTTAATCAGATGTAGATTGTAAAATTAAAATCCGATTATATAAACACCTCACATGCCTACTTACTTAGCTAAACTCTTCTTTCTGTATTGTTTTATCTTTTTTCTTTTGTTTATTTATTAAAAGATGTAAGATTAAAATAGAGGAAATCGAATGAGGTGAAAAGTAGTAGTTCAATTTACAAGCTTTACAATTAAATAGGAACTAGAGTAAAAAATGAGTATTTTAGTCACATTTTTAAAAATCGGACCAGATCGGACGATCAAGCAATTTGGACTAGGAACCAGTTAAGTCACCAATTCCATTTTGGCCCTAAACCGCTATTTAAAAAAAAAAAAAAGTTGAAATGATTAAAGAACTACTGACCCAAACGGTTTAACCGTTAAAATGTTTGACCCAATTAATGTTCTTAGGTTTCTTTCAAACTATTTCCAAATTTTTTATTTATTTTAAAATAAAAATAAATAAAATGAAAAAAGAAAAAAGAAACTTTCATATCTCATAAACTTGTTCGATTATTCCCAATAGCTTAAATCAGTTAGGTATTTTAGTTTTTCCATTTTATTTTTGTGTTTTCTCATTTTTATGATTCTTTTTAAGTTGTAACATAAAAAAAGTGCAACTTCAATAAAAAAAATGATTCAAGAAATGGGAGATTAAACACCGATCTTATATTAAAATCTAAAATACACTAATGAAAAAAACAATCTGTGAGGTGAGAGAGATGTAAGAAGAGGGCAATTGGTATTGTAACGGTGGTGATGATGAACATGGAGATAGCCGCCAATGGCAGTTCTTTCTTTCTTTCTTTCTTTCTTTCTTTCTTTCTTCTGTTCAGAGCAAAATACAACAAAGATTGGTGAACATGGTGACAACCACCTCCGGCGATGCTCCTTTTTCTTCTTCTTCTTCTTCTTCTTCTTCCCTTTCTTTTTTCTCACATTTTAGCTTTAACCAATCGCCCCTTTTTCAAACTCTAACACCCTCCTCTCATAATAATGTATATATGCGGTGGACTTTTAACCTAATCCTAATCTAACAGTCAAAATAAAAAGTTGCATTATATTTTACATCTTATCGGTTTGATTTGCTCAAACTGGATAGTTGAATCGTTGACCCGAAAATGGGAAATCAGAAGCCAAAGCAGTTCCATTTCTTTTTAGTCAAAAGAAAGTTCCAAAACATTATTCATAGTTTTAATAATAGTATAAATATAGAATTATAGATGTGTTCAATTTTTTCTATAATTTTTTTTTTGTATTTTGTGTGTAAAAATAATTCTGATATGTTACACTTACTTTTTGTTTAATATGATAAATACATGATATTATACATGTGCCTGAATGCTTTTTTTTTGCAAAATTTATATTTTTTGTTTTTGTACTTTTATATTTTATTAAATTTTATTATTTATTTATGACATTAAAGGTTAATACATTTAACCCAAAATTTGAACTATTTATTATTATTTTTTATATTTCATTTTTTTGTTAGTTCTAAATTATGCATTTCATTTTCTTTATCAATAAAAATAATTCTTGTTTATTACACTTATTTTTTTTAATTTGATTAATAAAAATATCATAAAAGTGACTACATTTTTCTATATTTTTTTTGTAAATTTTTATATTTATTTCTATTTTAAAAATTTTATTACCTAATTATGATTTCATAGGTTGATCAATTTAATTCGGATAATTGAATTGCTTAGCCACTACTTGGATAAAAATTTATTTTGTTTTTGAGTCAGTTTTAAAATATATGGGTTTATATTGTTAAAAATATTGACACGGATCTAATTAATAACATTTATTAGTGAAAAATAACTTAAAAATATAGGATTTAATAAGAAAAAATGAGATTTAATACATTAAGTATAAGACTTAATGAGAAGGGATTAAATAATGTGGAAAGTAATAATTTAAATTACACTTTCAACCCCTACAATAATTAGAGATGGATTAAATATACAAATATGGCCATTGTAATAGCCATTAAAATTATAATAAAATAACTTTTATAACATTTTCTAAATAAATAAATAAATAGAAGGTAATTACGGCCAAAAAAAGTTTCACATTTTTTTTATTGGTGTATCTTAAACCACATACTTTTTGTCTTAGTCTTATGGCAATGAAGTTGAAATGATGACATCAGCAATTTCATTAACTAACATTCCAATGTTGAATTAATGACAACGGCGGGCAACAATTAATGTTAGAAAGTTGAGTTCAGGGAAGGAAATTACTATTAACATAAAATAGGGCACTGAAACACAACTGTCAGAAAATACAGGGAGGTTTCAGGAATTTACCCTAAAATAAATTGGTGGATCCACGAACTTTCTTAATTTATTGTTTTTCTAAGACATGAACACGTCCACGGTCCACTAGTACAGATTTTACTAGCTGACTCGTTGCAACGCAGGGTCCATATTGGTACACCGCTCCAAACCATAGACTTGGCCATTCATTTGCAGCTGCTGAATGCTGATTGGAATAATTGAATAAACCATTCGTGGACCGATCGATCGAAAATGGGCCTAACATTTTATCGTGAATATTTGATCTGGTTTGATGTGTGTGCCCAACTAATCACAAATGAACACGTCAGTGTGACACCACATGATGTTTCATCAATCTGTGTTGTCCAATTTTTTATTAGAAATTTCGAAATTGCAGTGATACCCCATCTAATCGTTCGCATTGATGAGGATTCCTCATCTCATGATGAATGGTTGTGATTGGTCATTGCAATGTTAAGCTTCTTCTGCCAACCTTCCTCTTCTTCTCTATTAAATAATAATATATGGGAGTGTCTCCCACTAAATACTAAATCCTAATACTGATTTAGCTCCGATTTTTTGACTAAAAGAAACCGAGTAAAAGTCAAATAAAAGGATCCCAAAGTTCCCACCAACCAACTCCTCATTCGGTCATCCCTCAACGTGGTGAATTTGGTCAAGCTCCAAACAACGGGGCCCGCCCATTCCACCCAACCTCCAAGACTCGGCCTCTCCTCTGCACCCTCGCACCTCTTCTTCGTTCTTCCCCTATATAAACCCTTCTTCTATCTCTCTAGTTATTCCTCGTCAAACGAAACTAGTAATAACAAACACAAATACCTTCTCCTCCTCCATCGAATCTTCAGCTGTTTAGATCTCTCGAGAGTTTTTCTTAAAACTCTCGATCTCGTCGATCGAAATATCACCAAACCTCTGAAGTCTGAACCCATTAATTTCATCATCTTCATTCGATCAGTTCATTTCCATCCATCCATCGATCGATCTTCCAGCCAAATGGGTAGCCTACACACCGACGTTCTTGAGAACAACTCGGTGTGTGCTCTCAACCCCCTAGACCCGGAGGAGTTCAGGAGGCAAGGCCACATGATCATCGACTTCCTGGCTGATTACTATCGAGACATCGAGAAATATCCAGTTCGTAGCCAGGTGGAACCCGGTTACCTTCGCAAACGCCTCCCCGACACGGCTCCATATAACCCTGAACCAATCGAAACCATTATGCAGGATGTTCAGAAAGAAATCATCCCTGGATTAACACACTGGCAGAGTCCTAACTACTACGCTTACTTCCCTTCCAGCGGTAGCGTCGCTGGTTTTCTCGGCGAAATGCTTAGCACTGGATTTAATGTCGTTGGGTTCAACTGGATGTCGTCTCCGGCTGCCACAGAGCTGGAGAGCATAGTCATGGATTGGCTTGGCAAGATGCTCAAGCTCCCCACGTCTTTCCTCTTCTCTGGAAATGGTGGTGGTGTGCTACAAGGGACTACCTGTGAAGCCATCCTGTGCACGCTCACGGCAGCCAGAGATCGGATGTTGAACAGAATTGGTAGGGAGAACATAGGGAAGTTGGTGGTTTATGGATCAGATCAGACCCACTGTGCACTCCAGAAAGCTGCCCAGATTGCAGGGATCTTTCCAAACAACTTCCGTCCCGTTGCAACGAGTAAGGCCACCTCATTCGGGCTGGCCCCCGAGTCTCTTCAGTCTGCAATCCAAGCAGATATAGAAGCTGGGCTCATCCCATTATTCCTCTGTGCTACTGTCGGTACTACATCGTCGACAGCCGTCGACCCAATTGCTCCTCTATGCGCAGTGGCCAAAGAGTATGGAGTTTGGGTTCACATCGACGCAGCATACGCCGGAAGTGCAAGCATATGTCCTGAGTTCAGACACTTCATCGATGGGGTAGAGGATGCAGACTCGTTCAGTTTCAATGCACACAAGTGGTTCTTCACCACTCTGGATTGCTGCTGCCTTTGGGTCAAGGACCCTAGTGCCCTTGTTAAGGCCCTTTCAACCAGTCCTGAGTATTTGAGGAACAAAGCTACTGAATCAAAGCAAGTGATAGACTACAAAGACTGGCAAATAGCCCTCAGTCGTCGATTCCGAGCCATGAAGCTCTGGATGGTGCTTCGGAGCTATGGTGTGGCCAACCTAAGAAATTTCCTTCGGACCCACGTGAAAATGGCTAAGCACTTCGAAGAGAAGGTAACCATGGACAAGAGGTTTGAGATTGTGGTGCCGAGGAATTTCGCGATGGTATGCTTCCGGCTACTACCTCCGCCGGTGAAGGATCATGAGGATGAGACGCTCAGGCAATCGTCGGAGTTGGAACGTGCAAACGAGATCAACCGTAAGTTGCTGGAGTCGATCAACTCGACTGGGCGCATATACATGACGCATGCGGTGGTTGGGGGTGTATACATGATCAGGTTCGCTGTTGGTGCAAGCCTTACAGAGGACCGCCATGTGAACTTGGCATGGAAGGTAGTGCAAGAACATGCAGAGGCCATTCTCAAAGCGTGTTGATTAAGGTGGCAACCTACGACTACCACTCCATATTGGTGGATTTGAGGGTTTAATTCAAACTTGCGAAAATAAAGAGTAAGACCCATAAAAAAAAAAATAAAAGAAGTTAATTACTTGGGTTCATTAATTTTGTACGTACTCATCATCATCTGTAATTTTTTTCTTAATTTTTTTTTGTATCTATTAAATCATCTACATTGAATTATTTCTACAACAACGATTTTTAATACACTCTCTTTATCGATTACTTCATTCTGAATAAAAAAGAAACGAAGACATATAGAGATTCTGCACCTGGCAGAGAATTAAAACTCGTAATTAATCTTCTGTAAATGGTGCATATAGTTTCCATTTAGTTTCTTCCAACAGAAACAAACTCAATGTTTTGATGAAGTCCAATTGAGGAGTGATCATGTCATTACATGATTAGTTTAATGGATTAGTTAGAATTGCTGCAACATTTTGATATAATCCATATGCAAACTTGGTCAATAGGAAGATGATTAATTAGACTGTTTCAAGTGTCAACGTACAACAGTCCTCCATCTTCGGTCCTTAAAGAGTGGGTTACAGGCTGATACCTAATTGGGCCTCAACTAGATCAGAGAAATTTTCAACTTAATAAAATGTGACGCTCGTTCCTTCCTATCAGTTTCTTTCTTCCTCACTTTTATTATGGATGTTTTGTCTACTTTTGGAAGTAAAATGGCGGATTAGAACAAAGCAATAGTAAATTAATAAGCGTGATGCTGTCTAATCCAGAGATGAGGGCAGTTTTGTGACTTTCAAGGTGATGAAGTTGATGGTATCGCCCACGAATAGTTAAAAGGCTTAGAGTCCCAAAGATGTGGTAAAGACTCTGATGGTCAAGTTAGACGAAGAGGGGCGGAGTCAGAGGATTCAGGGGGAGCCATGACCCCTTATGGTCCAAAAATCCACCACTACTACTACAATTTTTCATGTAAATTCCCCCTCCCCCCTCCAATGGTTGCCCTCCTATATATGAGCCCATTTACATTTGTCCCCCCTCTTCTTAATCCACTTTAAACACAGTTCAGATAAAATAAGCACAATGTTGTTGTAAGTGCTTTTAATGAGCACTTGAAAATTTTTTTGACACTTATCTCTTAAAATACCCTCGATTAAAACCCACTTTTGAAAGTCGCCAAAATACTTATTAAGTGCTCGTTTAATGTACTTACTTATATGTTGTGCCTACTAGATTCGATCCCAAACATACAATATCTGATTTGGTTTCCATGTCTTTCGTCCTTCCTTGCTTATCGTTAGCCATCCATAAAATTTTTACTTAAACTTTCATATCTTAAGCATGCTTGTTATTGGCCATTAATAAGGTGAGAGATTGGAGTGGTTGTGGGGTTATATACACTTGATATTTCTGATATTGTTGGTCAAACTTCTCCTATCACAGCCATCAAGTGCAGCTATGAATGGGCAGATAAATATAATTCCCTTAATTATAAACATATAATATGCACATAATGTATGCTGGACAATGTATGCATTAAGTACTCAAAGTCACAAAAGCTAATAAAATATAGTTTTGTATTGGTACATAGAGTCTATGGTTGTTTAAATTATGTTTGTTTCAGTGCAAATCTGAATCTGAATCAGATACTTGCATCTGCTTTTTTGAATTTATGATTTGCACTCTTACCTGCTCCTCTAATTGTCTTTTATATAAAGTGATGACCATGTCATCTTGCTTCCTAACTCATTTTCAAACAAATAACCCTCTTCCTACATTCCATTCTATTACATATTAGATGCGACACACACACACCATTTTATTTTTTACAAATAAATAAGACAAGGTCAAACCTGAAGCGAAATAGACCGAAATTTACAATCGACCTATTTGCACTCCCATGGATTTACAAGGGTTTGCGATCTTTAATTTGTTCTATGCTTAGCAATGAACTACGACTAACTTAATTTGAACGTACAAATTAAGGCTCCATTTGATTGCAATGTAACTCTGAACCGAATACAAATTTTGCACTTGGTTCAGTTTTGCTTTTATTTGTTTGTAGTTATGATTTTCACACATTCATATGATACAAAATTTGTAATTTTTACCTCATGTGCGTGCACTCATTAGCAATGCCAATTTGCATCCCAAAAACTGATGAAAAATTTGCACCACCCTCCTGTCTGAATTCTCTTTCATATTTAAATTATATAGGGGCCTCATTCCCCAAACAAATAACCCCCTTGAATCTCTATTTTTTTTTATATCTATATAAATGTATATTAATTCATTTTATTTTCTATTTTACGTCTCACAAATAAATAAGATAAAAGTAAACTGCATGCATGTAAAGCAAAAGTAGACTCAATTTCTTTGCACCCTTCATACATTTATATTAAAGTAGATGAAATTATTTGGCACCACAAACAATCCACAAGGTTGAACGTTGAAGAAGAATGTACCCTAGCATATACCGTTATTCACCGGATAACAAACAAGAGAAAATTAAAATACAAAATGTGGAAAAAGGTGGATTGGGTAGGTGGAGTGGACGATTGTGCAGCGGCCTTTCGAGATTGTATAAAGATTCACCGCCTAAAATTCAATTCTCACCAACCCCCACCGTGTGGCGTGTGTGTATTAACTAATATTTAATTCATTCAACACAAGCTTTTTGAGAGAGAGAGAGAGAGAAAAGCTTTTGAGCTTTTGTAGAGCATCTAAGGTAGCTAGTATATATTTGAAGATGGCAAATAAATATGGTTTTGTCATTTGTTAAACTCACATTCACAGTCGTGGGTTCCCATGTAATTAGACAAGTTGTAAGCCGTCTGGATAATATTATCTCTAAATAACAAGGTTTTTAAAATCAAATCGGACAACTAATCTGTCAGAGGTCCGGTTTCTGGGTCAAATGCTTCGATCGTTTAAATTGAATAGATTGACAAAAAATTTAAAAAATAAAAAACGGTCAAATCATTAGAAAATTCAAATGGTTCAATCGCTCGGGTCAATAGTTTTTTGACCAAATCAATGGTTTTTTTTTTTTTGGCAAAAGAACAGTTCTAGGGTAAAATAGAACCAATCACTTAACCGGTTCTCGATTTTTCTGGTCTGACTGTATGATCTGATCCGGTTTTAAAAACCATGCTATATATGAGTTCCTAACGGCAAGCTTAATTGTTAGGTTATTGTTTGATTATGTCATGTAGCTACGTATATATACCAACCCCCTTCCGGCCGGCCGTTTACTGAACCAGTCAACCTAGGTACAACAACCCACTCAATTGTTAAAGCTAGCTAGCACTGGTTGAATTATTCAAAGGCAGAAAGCTAGGATCGATCGATCAAGGAAGATATAGATGTCACCGGTCAACAGGCGTCAGGCGGGTGGGGACTGAGGTGTTCTTACCGGCTGGACTATATTTTCCATTTTATATGGAAACGTGGTGTGCCCAAATAAAGCTGCTGCAGCCTTTATTATTCATCACAAAACAAAAAAAAAAATATGTAGAGAGACGATATGATAGAGCTTTCGTTGAATTAGGTATATAAAACATGAGAAACAAAGCCAAGCCACCGCATTCAACTATATATATATATATATATATATATATATATATTTTTTTTTTTTTTCAGATTAGAAACAAATTTTGTGGGCCAAAATGAGAATTCTGACTTCACCCACGCCACGCTAATTAGGGTGACATCATCAATCACGACCCTCTCCTGTGATTAGGAGGAAAAAGAAGAACCCCCCATTAGTTAGTTTCAGAAAACGGAATCAAATTGATGAGGCTCTTGCTCTTTTTGATCACTCTTTAGAGTTTTCCTTTCACCTACACACCTCCAGTACCATTTAATTCTACAAGGTGATGCCAAAGTTATCATTCACTCTCCATTCTCTGTTGACTGTTGGAGAGCAATTCTACTCCTCCCTGGCGAATTAGACACATCTTTCTTCACATTCCTCATTGCTCTATTCAATTTTGCTCTCCATCCTCTAATTCTGTCGCTCATTTTGTTAGCTTTGTCTCATGTCACTACTTGGGTGAGGGTTCTTGATGAGTTTCTTCAACACTCTTTGTATTCAGATTACATTGAGCAATGAATGAATTCTTGCCTCTTCTTGCCGTAAATAATAATAATAATAATAATAATAATAATGGAGTAGGGATGTTAATAGGTTGGCTTTTATCAAAATTTGAATGAATTCGTCCCAAACGTCTGAGCCTACAATGATAAATTGGACCAACCCAAGTTGCATTACCAATTAACGTCCCTAATCAATAGTATTTTTAACATTTGATTTATGTATTATTTTTCATAATCCAGATTGAATTAATATTCTCTAACTATTCCATTGCAAAGATTTGCCAAAGCAGGCTCGGGCTGCTGGGGCCATGGGCCGAACCTTGGGTCAGGCCATGAAAGATATATTTAAAACAAATAATGAAAATTTACAATAAATTAATAAAATAGATAAAAATTTTGATAAAAAATCTTAAAATTTTATTTTATATGAATTTTGATATATACAATTGTTTATATATGAAATAATAAAATAAAATTAAAACATATATATATATATATATATTAATTATTATATATAATATATATGGGTCATGTTGGGCGGGCCCATGCCAGCACTGCCCACACTGTCGTGTTGTGCCATATCGGCCCGTGGGCCTGAAAACTCAGGCCCGACATGGCCCATACTTTCATGTCGGGCCCAGCCCATGTCATGCCGGTACGGCCTGATTTACAGCTCTAGTGTCGGCCCTCTAGCATTCATGGGGCATGAGATGTAATCTTTCATGACATGGTCAAGTGCCCCACTTTCTACCATCATGTACCCAGCATGAATGTAATCTATTTTTGGTTGAAATGAAAATTCGCCCAATGAACTTTAAAAAAGTTGTAAGAAAACACAAATATTCAACATAAATCTCAAGCTTTGAGCCTCAGGGCCTTAAACCCATTTATCAAAACCCAAAATATGATTCCCCACTGTCAGCCTGACATTTTGTAACCCATCAACTATTAGTATCCCAGTTGGGTTTAAGAAATACAATGACGATTATGAGAATTGAGGCTATATTTGGTTGAAGGGAAGTAGTTGTTAATAAGTTTTGTATAATTCCTTATAAAGTTTTCATCAACTTTCTATTTATTTTTTCATTTCTGCCAAATCAAACATGGCCTAAGATGATAATTCCAATAAACCAAGGCTGTCAATTAGTTGTTTAGACCTAAAAAGAACAAACTGACATAATTGTGTTGGGTATGTATCATGTGTCCCAATTACATATATCAAAATCAACACTCAAAGACAACTCATGATCTGAAGAGGAAAAGGTTCTCTAATTAATCAGGGTTTTCCTACCCATGCTTAGTTGGGTTATTGCCCAACAAGAGTTGCTTCAAGGGAAACCCAACCTCCTTACAAGAGAATTAAAGGTAAAGAAAGGGATTAGGGATAATGTTCTTTCTCTTTATTGCACCTTCTTAGGAGATATTTTTAAACAAACCATTCAGTTAGTATAGGGATGGCAATTTTCCCTATCCTCGATGGGAATTTGACTTCTGTTTTGGATGGTGGGGATGGGATAGGGATTAATAGGAATTCTCGCAAGAAATCCATCCCCATCGAGAATCGAGGATAGAGGACATATTTTATCCCCAACAGGGATTGACGGTATCTCTTAAGCAACAGGATGAAGGCATCTCTTAAGCAAAGACACATGGAAAACCAGGTGCAGCTGAGAGCTGGGAGGAAGCTATAAGAGGTAGGAAAGCACTGCACCAATTCTTTCAAGAATAACAAAAGGGTCAAAATATCTAGGAGCCAATTTTTTCCATGCATGGCCTTCTTGCCACAGGACTCTCTCTACTGATACGACTGTAACTTCAGATATTCCATGCATGTTTTCATTTTTTTTTGTAGGTTTACAGATATAAGAGGTATGAAGAAGTACAAATACATACAAGATTTTGCACTCTACAAATTTGTATTTATTCTCATTCCAAACTGAGCTGTATCAGCATCACAATTCAATGGGTCCTATTAAGTGGCATGATCATGTTTCTCTTTGGTTTTCATTTTATGGTTTGATAGTTTATAACAATTAATAAGGTCCATTTTTTATACTGTGGGTACGTAGCACCTCGTTTATTTGAGACAATGGGTTCGACTATCTTTTCAAGCTAAACCATGTACTTTTAGACCTAATGTAGGTGACCAATTTGAACCAAAAAACAACTTATTAATTAGATGCCACGCACTAACCATTTAAGCATCACATAAATGGATTTTTATCAAAGGAATCCGTACCTTGTTTGGTCATTCAAAGTTGATTCGATTTTAGAACTGGTTAGTTCATCCAGTTGAATTAATTTATAGTGTAAAACACCATTGGGTCAATGAAAATCTTCATAGGTTTTGATGCTATTATCAGTAATATCTAAATTATATATAGTAGTCTGACTGTCTGAGGACTATCTAATGCATGCCCCCACTGAATTTACCAAGAATTCAGTTGAGATATTAATTCAGTAAAATAAGTTTGGTACCAAGGTGACAGCTTGTGCACCAGCAAGATCTTTTCATGGCTTTCTCTAGTTGCCAGCTCTCTACTAGATTGATTGCTCCCCCTCCCCAATTTAGCAAAATTGAAAAAATGCATTTAGGTTGTGTTTGGTAATGATTTTTTAACATCAATAGGATTTTAATAAAGAAACACTTCTACAAAAGTACCTATTCAAGTTCAAGGGACTTATATGCCGTTGTTTTATTTGGTAAAGTTTAGGTTGTGTTCGGATAAATAATAAATTTCAGGATTTGTGCTTTTAAAACCCAAAAACACAAAACCCCAATTGTAGTCCTTGTATTTTGAGGTTTGGAAGTGTTTTAGAATTAAGTTGCTATGTTAAAAGCAACTCTTACCAAATGCGCAAACCACTGTTGGCTCATTTTTGTTTCCCACAGCCACAATCCAAGCTCAAATAATAAAAAAGCACTTCCTTGTATTGTCGGTATTTGGTAATTTCAATCGATAAAAGCCCTTCAACTTTGTAAGTAACCCTTTTCCTTTCTTAAGTATATTAATTTGTTATCCTCACGGTACTGTTAAGTGATGTATGGTAAGGTGCAGCCTTGAAATAGAATTGAACCTAATGATAATGAGGGAAATTGAAGTGAATCTTTGATAAATAAGTAAGGATAATGGATTATAACTGCACAAGACAAGATAATGGGATAGGATGGGGGGAAAACTTTAACCCCATTGGGAATCACTCTGCCACTAAGTTAAGAAACTTTGACAACACACTTCTAAACTCAGCCTCCTACCCTGCCTAGACAACTCCATGTGCATAGAAGATGCACAAGGCTTGGATGATAATTCCAAAGGGAATTTCGAAGCTTCTAGAGGTCTTATTTTTCCCATACCTATTTGCGCTATCTATGGAAGGTTTGTCAATATTAATTGCTCAGGAGAATGAACAAAATAAACTATTAGGAATTAAAATTGCCAAAAATGCACGAGGGTTTCACATTTGTTATTTGCCGATGATGTGTTGTTATTTCACAAAGCAAACCGGCAAGAGGCTATAGATCCTGCCAATTTAATAAATTGCTTCCAAAAGCTGTTAGGTTGTAAATTTTCAAAAATCAGGAATTTACTTTAATTAGAGAACTCACCTGCAGGGTGATAAAGAGACAATTAAAAATGCCTCAATTGAACCCCCCAAGTCAAATACTTGGGAGTTCCTCTTCTGGTAAAAAGGGGTAGATCTAAAGACTTTCGAATTTATCCTGGAAAGACTGAAAAGCAAACTGAATAACTGGAAAGCAAATTGAATGACTGAAAATTGTCACAGAAATGGGAAAAAATTCAAAGATCCTTTTGGTGGAATGAAGGAAATGGTAGGAGATATTTAAAATGGGCCAAGTAGGACCATCCATGTGCTCCAAAATTAGTGGGAGGTTTGGGTTTTAGAAAGATGGTTATATTAAACAAAGCTCTCTATCTGTAAATTAGCCTGGAGATTCATGAGAAAAATTCCTTATGGACCCAGATGAAGTTTTCCCTCGAAAAATTCAAACAAATGCTTCTCCAATTTGGAAAAACATAGCCAAGCAACTTATTTCCTTGTTCCGACAGGTGGGTGCTCAGGTGACTCAGGAATCAAACTTGAATGCCTGGATTGTAAGCTTGGATCAGGGCGGAATGGGGATTTAGGTGTCCGGTGGGCCCTCACCCTGCTGTTTATTGGAAAAATACCCAAGTAAAAAGGTTATTTACAAATTACAACCGGAGGACGTGAAGGCCATAGAAGGGAGTCATATTTTTCACAGGCAAGAAGAAAAGGTTATTTACAATCTGGAATGGAGACAATGGGGAGAAATTGTGAAAGTTAAAAATCCCACCACGATTTAGGTTACTTTTGTAGAGATTGCTGAAATTGTGTGGTCACAAAGACTAAATTGTTTCGACTGGGTATTTCCCAGGATGATATCTGCCCGTTGTGTAACTCAGGACAGGAGACTGCCATTTGTTTCTAGCCGGTGATTTTGTTAGAGCCTTGATGTTTGCTAGCCCTTGGGGTTTTAATTTCCAGACTCAGTCTTTTCAAAATATTCAAGGGTTTCTTTTATTTGTTTCCAATGTTGGGTTCTCCGCCTCGGATTTTAAAGCTTTCATAGAATGGATTGTTGTGACCTGGTATTTTGTGTGGATATCTCGCAATGGATTGTTGTGACCTGGTATTTCAAATATAGAAACATCTTGTAGCTGGGTGTTGAGGTCTCTAAAAAGTTTTGTATTCCTTTTTCTTCCTCTATTGGGCATAATTCTGAAGTGGTTATTCCAAGGAGGCTACACCTATCTTTATTTTCAAATGAAGTCTTAATCATATGTGATAGGGGTCTAGATGGGGACTCGATTGCTCCTTCTGGTTTTTGTGCTTATTCTCACAATCTAAATTCCTTGGTTGCTGCTGCAGATGGGAGCTTAGGAAGTGTGGGGCGAGTTTTTTAAGCTGAAGGAGCTGCAGTATATGAGGCCCTTAATTCTGCCAAGTCTCAGAAATGGCTCTCCGTGACTATAATCTCTGATGCTAAACTTTTTTATAGATGCTTGCAATGGCAATTTGTCTGCTGTTCCTCGGTCTCTTTGGAACCGAATAGATAGCATTATGAACTTATAACTTCTCTTCTGTTATATTTTTGTATAAAAGTAAAACTCTTTCTGGTAGTGCTCGTAGGGTAGCTCAAGAAGCAAAAATGTTCCAAGTCTTTGTGTTTGGTGGTTGTCTCCACCTTGGCTTGCTCCGTTTGTATCCCTGGAACCCTTTCGTTGGTGTTAGTTATTTTCACATCAAAGAAAAAAACACTACAAAATTCCGTATTTGCAGAGAACTTTAGCACTATAATGCTACTAAATGAACTTAAGAGATTTAATACACTACAATCCATCGTTACATTTAAATCAAATTTCTTTAGAAGTGCAGTGCTACCAATTTGTTGCAGCCTTGCAGGGGCATAGGCCTTGAGAATTGTCATTAAGGAAAAGAAAAAACATGGAACTAATTGATCAAGAAATTAATTGAATTTACTTACTTTTTTCCGCTTTATGTTAATTCACCTAACACCCCCACCCCTTCCTACAACTCAAAATCAGAAGTTGTTAAATGGATTGGAAAAGAAAAAGAGATTATGATAATGTACAGATACGCTGAGAAACCGTATGGACCACAAAAATGAGAAAGGGATAAAAGCTTTTGCACAGAACTGGCAGTTAAATGAACTCTTGTTATGATACAGATATCACTTTCATCCATCAGTTAATATGCTTCAACTGGTGCTTGCAGACCTTTTTATGGTTCCTCGGTCTGTTAAAGAATTGTAACTGCAGGGATAAGAAAAAATATCTACATGCAATGCCAGTGAAGCAATAAAAAGATTAGTGGAATGAAGATTAACAGGCACAATAAACACAACTCCATACCTCAAGAACTTTGGTAGCTTAATGATGAAAGAAAAACCTCTTTGGAACCAAATACAAAGATGAAATATTGACAGAATCAGGTCACAGCTTATCACCCCACTACCTTTATTGCACCTATCTCATTGAACTTTGAGCTTCTATGCTGAAACAATTTAGGGGAAAAAGTTTTATTTAAGAAAAAGCAAAGAGCTACCAAGAAAAAGGCAAATGTAAACAGTGACCAAGAATGTCCCCACAAATGTAATCTCATCCCACTTTACAAATCCAGAAGGAAAAAAAAAAGTAATGTCATTACCTTACTTTTCTTGTGCTTGTGGATATCAGTGAGATCTTCACTCCCATCATACTTCCTTTTCTGAAATTGTAAATAGACAAGCAGAACGAATTCACAAAGTGAGTAGAGAAGAGCGATAGAACTAGAAGGGTCCAATCCTATGGATTATATATATATATATATAACATGTCCAGACTTTTTTTTTTTTTGATAAATAAGCATGTCCAGACAATTGGTGTGGCAGAAATGTGTATGTTGAGATGGAGTGGCAAAACTAGAAAAAATATAGGATCAGAAATGAATTAATTTATAATTGCACTGGATATATTCATATTTTTGTAGTTTGCTGAATATCGGTGCATGCCAGAGAGTTTATCAGAACATTTACACTGATGGAAATTGAAAGGTTTAAATAAGAAAGGTAGAAAACCGTGGAGAGAAATCAGAGAGTAGTTCAGAATAAGAACACTTCAGTGGAAGATCTCATCAGAAAGATTCTGGGCACCATCCATTCTTGGCTGGAGCAATTCAACAGAATAGCCCATCAAAGTTATTTAGATCCTGACAATTTGTTTTTTGTAAGACTGGCAAGACAGGAGCTAACTGAATACTCTTTTGCATGGTTCAAAGTATTGATACATCGGCAGAGGTGTATCAGTACTTTAACTGATGTGCCTTTTATTTTTATTTTTTTAGTTTTTTAACTTCAGTTTTAACTATAATTTTATATATATTATTTAATAAGAAAGGAGTTTCTAAGAACACCTGTAAGCAAGTGTATTGGCACTCAAAGATACAATACGATACACCCTGTATCAGGCATATTGGTTGATACTTTGAACCTTGCTCTTTTTTAAAGAATTACCTTACATGGTTATACTTGTACATGCTCTTCTTTGAATGAATATAATGCAATACCTTACCTTTTCTTCAAAAAAAAAGAAAGAAATGAAGTCATTTATAGGAACTTAGGGGTAACTCCAACAGGTGATAAAATGAGAAAAAGTAGAGTAAGATGGTTTGGTCATGTGAATAGAAAACCATCAACAGCACAAGTAAGAAGTGATTTGTTGCAAGTTGATGGGGCTAGAAGGATAGGGGCAAGGTTCAAAAAATCGATACGATGCCCCATACCGGGTGTATCGTATCGTATCTTTTGGGTTCCAAAACACCTGTTTACAGGTGTTTCGGGACCCCACCCTTTTTTAACTCCCCAAAAACCAAAATTTGAAAAAAAAAACTAAAAAAAAGCTAATTCCGTGTGTATCTAAGTACCGATACGCACAGGCGTATCGATACTTTGAACCATGGCTAGGGGTTATAGACCAAAAAGAACATGGGTAGAACTAGTAAGAATGATTTAGTTGCCAATAAATTAACAATTGAAATGGCATTAAACAGAACAGAGTGGTAAAACAGTGTAGTCGACCCCATATAATTGGGATAAAATTTGGATGATGGTGATAATAATAATAACATTCACAGTTACATGGACTAGCAGTCCTGGAGGATGTTATCGAAGATCTCCCTCCCCACAACCCATAAACAAAAAAGAACCAATCAGCCAACCCAAACCGTCTAATTTTGGATAGTCAATGGAAAATGAGGAAAAACTCTCCAAAAAGTGTAATCTGAAGGCAGATCCCATTATTTGATAAGGGGATAACCCTAATCATTAGTAAAAATGCATATTAATGCATATTTTATTTTTTATTAATAAAAAATACATATTTTAATAGTTAAAAGTACCATTTTATGTTAACCTTTACTAGGCCTGTAAACGGATTGAATTCAAATGGAATCAGGCTAGATTCAAATTCAAAACCAATTCTGTATACTAATATTCGAATCCGGTTTGATATCCGACAGATATCAAAAATCCCTGTTTGAATTCGAATTCGATTTCGATTATCAAATCAAATATTCAATTCGAATTCGAATTCGATCAATAATTTAAGTTTTCGAATATGAATCCAATTCGATTAACTGTTTCACAAAAGAAAATTTTCAAATTTAACTGGTTCTAGTTTTCCTCTAAATCACTGTAAATCTGGAATCTATTCTGTAGGAAAATGAAATCCAAGAGAAATAGAATCTATTCTAAATCACTGTAAATCATATATCAATTTACATTAAATCCAAGAGAAATAGAGAAATAAAATCTATTCTAAACACTGTAAATCAGAAATAAATTTACATTAAATCCAAGAGAAATGGAGAAATAGAGAAATAGAATCTCTTCTAAATCACTGTAAATCAGAAATCAATTTATCTTAAATCCAAGAGAAATAGAGAAAAGAGGCAGGGGACTGAGATGGACTATCGGCAGTGGGCCAAGTGTGACGGGGCAGTTGTGCGTTCCGCCAGTGCAACTGAGATGGCAGTGGTGGCCGGTGATACTGGCCAACGGTCACTCTCACTTTCTATTTGTAGTAATTTCCATAATTGCTATTTATGGGTAATTCCTATTTCAAATTGGAGCCTGTAAATTTATAAATTGAGTCTCGAAATAGTCATTGTGATTGAAGCAAATAAGTGTTTGTTTGATGAAATAAAGTTTGATACTTTGAGTTGGTGAATTTTTGTCATTGCTAGGTTTCTTTCTTCTCTCTTGCCTATTCCTTCTTCTAAGTGAACTATCTCTTTACCCTAACAACAAGAGTTTATCTCTCTTCCTAACGTCTTGTTCACTCTTTGGTGGACAGTGAGCTATATTCTTGCTTCTGCATCCCTATTCTTCACCCTTAATCACCTATAACCCCTCTATCCACAGCCCACCACCAGATCTGGGATTTATTATTATTTTTGCTTTTTTCATAGTAAATAGAAAGAAAGATTTTATTAACTGAAAAAAAAGGAGAGTACAAAGGAGGGCTAAATGAGAAACCACTCAGAAAAAGACAAAAAAAATATAACAATAAATAAGACGTCAACTTTCACCCCAACTCCAAGTCTAAAACTGACAACTAGCAGATATCAGAACCAAAAGAATCTATAAAAATGTCAACAAATTCTGGATGAATCATAACCCAACATAAAACTCTTTTTTCCCAATGATTGAGGCATGACAATTGAATTGATCTTCAAAAATCCTCATTTCTTTCCTTTCGAAATATTGCAGAAGGTAAACAGCTCCAAGCTATCTTTGGAGACCAATGTGCAAATAGCTCTTTTGGAGACCTTGGATCCTTTTTTTTTTTGAGAAAAAGTAAGGTAATTGTATTAATGAGTATAACTGTAAAACATAACACCATTCAGTCCACAAAAACTCCATGTACAGCCAGAAACTATACAAAAAGCCAACAAAAACTGGTCTCTCCGGAATACATACAAGAGACCCCCAACTAAATCAAGTAAACAAAAAACCCAGATCAAAATACTGATGGTGTGGGATATGCTTAAAAGAGTCCTTGGCTGACAGCCAGGAATGTAAAGTAGCCAATGCCCGAACCACCAACTCATCCAAGGAGCACCTTTGACCTTCAAAAATCCTACTATTTCTTTCTTTCCACAGGACCCAACACACTACATGAGGGATCATACACCACAGCACCTTACCCCTGCTGCTTAAGCCCGTCAACTTCCAAGAGAAAAGCAGGTCAGCTAAAGATTTGGGGCAGCACCACCTAACATTTAACAGAGAGCAGAAATGACTGAACAGCAGATGGGCAACCTCACTGAATAAATAAGTGATCCACAGATTCATCTTCTCCACTACACATCACACATCTTGTGGAGGGCAGCACCAGACCCCTCATGATTAGCTGCTCCTTGGAAAGACATTTACCATAAACTGCTGTCCAGACCAAGAAGGTGACTTCAGTAGGAATGTGAGGGAGCCAAATCTCTTTCCATGGAAAAGCCTGAGACGAACCAGCACTCAGTTTTAAATAAAAAGACTTCACTGAGAAAATCCCATCCCTAGTCCACTTCCAAATTCTGGAATCTTGCTGATTTGGATTCAGTTGATAGTCCTGAATTAATTGGAGCAACTCTAACAGATCAGAGACTTCCCAATCATTGAGATGCCTCCTGAACTTTGGACACCAGTATCCTGAATTTCCACGCCACTCAAACTGATCTGCCACCATCACATCCCTGTCTTCTGCTATAAGGAATAAAGAAGGGACAGTCTCCATTAGAGAAAAACCATTGCACCAAGTGTCTCGCCAGAAACTAGTCCTGTTGCCATCCCCTAATTTTAGCCTAATCCCTTGGACAAAAAGAGGATAAACCTTCTCAATTCCTTTCCAAACTGATACCACCTTGAACAGGGAGAAACAGCCCCAAATAATCATCACATAAGTGAAGAACATTTTCATCATCCTCCAGACAAAGTAACATCTTCCCACCATCTGATTTTTTTTTTTTTTTGAAACAGGTAAAGTATCAAATTGTATTAAAGTAAAGAGTAGCAGCACATGTACAATGAGAGCCTGTACAATGGGGATATACAGAGTGTCAACAAAAGAAAGGTCCAGCTTGAAAAAAAGAGTAAAGCTGGACACCCCTGAATGCCCTTTGTACACTAAAAGCCTATAACCTTGTTTTTTACTGAAATTACATCAGAAAAAGAGTTGTCAAAAATTCGACTATTCCTTTCCTTCGAGAGGGCCCATATGATAGTAGAAGGGAAAATCCTCCAAAGCAATTTACCCCTGTTGTTCAAACCCTTAAGAGATCATCATCCTTGCAGGAGCTGAAGGGCTGAATCAGGTAGGCAATAATGAACTCCAAAGCAGGAGAGAGTCAAATCCCACAGCTGGGAGGAGAATGCTATCTTCCCACCATCTGAATACCCCTGTTTTTGATGTGATTTTGGGTAAGAATGCTATGAGCCACCAACCAACCATGCAAAAGCCTCAATTGTCAGAGGAAGAGGATTGCTCCAAACACCTCTAATATCTTCCCTTTCAACCTGATTTCTTGCTAATGCTTTGTAGAATGGTCTTACAAAAAATACCCCTTTGCTACTCTCCTTCCACCACCTCACATCAGCCCTCTCAACATGAACTCCACCGTCTGCAATTTAGCTGGCAAGTTAGCACATTCCCCCACCTCCCAATCAAGAAGTAATCTTCTAACTTTGGACACCATACAACAGAACCCCTTTGCTACTCCCCTTTCATAACATTGTGAGATTGGATTGTTCTTTCTAGTTTCTACCTAATCTATACAATCTTGGACATAATTCATTTAGCTTTCCGATCCCAATCAATCATCTCCCCAAAACCTAATACTTGCTCCATTTCCAACATCTAGAAGATACATAACTTAAAAAGCTGAATGGAAGTTCATGATTCTCTTCCAAACACAAACTCCATATGATAATTTCACATCTTTTGTATCTTAGCCAAAATCCACCACTCCATACTTGCAAGTAGACCTGTTCATGGACCAGGCTTTCCCTCTATATTAATAGAACACGTTCAGGCCTGAGCCTAGCCTTCATAAAAAGCCCAAAGCCCGGCCTGGAAATTGAGCAAGATTTTTTTTTTTTATGAATAGCAAGATTTTTTTAACTCAACAACAAAAGAGATTTATTTATATTAAACAACAAACCCAAAATAAAAACTGAAAGATCCCACTGTGGCTTGTGAAAAGAGAAGAGGAACAGAGAAAAAATATTATAAATATTTTTTTATTATATAAAATATTATTGGCTCGAGTTTGGGCTCAGGCTGGGCTTGTTTAAGAAACCATGAACCTGACCCGAAAAAAAAAAGGTTGGGCCTAGTATTTTGGGCCCGAGACCAAGCCCAAGCCCCACAGGTCTAAAATCTTGTCCAAGCCCAACAAAGAATGAGCCAGACCAGGGTGGCCCGTCAGGATACCTGGCCCACCAACAGTCTACTTGCAAGCAATCACCTTTGTCCATAAAGAATCCCTCTAACTCCCAATCCTGCACAACCACTTTCTCTATAGTGTTTTGTTAAAAAGGCTCACCCTACTTATCCCCAAGCCCCCATCTTTCTTATCCCAATGCACTCACCCCCACTCCACCAAATGATACTTACTTCTTTCGCCCCTCACACTCCAATAGAAACTCTTTCTACAACTTTTCAGTTGAATCCGCAACCAGAGAAGGAACTTTGAGTAATGATAAGTAGTAAACTAGAAGATTACTGTCCAATGAGGGATACTTTCTCTTCCACCCTACCAATCTTTGTTAACCCTATTCAAAATTGGTTGCCAAATAAAAAGTGAACATTTTGCTCCAATTGGAAGCCCCAGATATGTAAATGGAAATTCCCCTATGAAGCACCCCAGTGCCCCTACACAATCTTCTAGCAATACTTGAGGAATATCACCAACACCAATCATGATGCTCTTATTCAAACTTATCTGCAAACTGCAAATGATAACTTATTAGGTCTTCCCTTCCCACCATATATCCTTCCATCATCCCAAACTTACCTCCTTGTTGATCATTTTCCTTAAAGCTTTCTCCAATCGCCACCATAAGAAAGAGTACTAGTGAAAGTGGATCTCCTTGCTGAGTTGCTGTAATTCCCTTGTCACTTGAAAGAATTTTGTTAATACACCAATAACCAGCACCAAAAATGAGGTTGTAGAAACACATGCAAACATCCAACTTCTCCATTTCTCCCCAAAACCCATCCTCTCCAGCACTTCTTCCAAAAAGCCCCACTCCATGTGATCATAAGCCTCCTCAATATCCAATTTACAAATTACACCTGCTGTGGTGTGGATTATATGGGAGGAAAGAAACCAAAGAATTTTCTTTGAAAAAAGCAAATCAAAGGAAGAAGTCATTGAAGCCATAAAAATCAGAGCTGCACATTGGGTGATGACCATGGAACTATTCAAGAACTTCTCCACAAATGACATTCTAAGGAACTGGACTGAAGTGGCACAAACAGATGTACCCAAAGAAATTGTGAGAGTGGAGTGGAAGCCACCTGCACTAAATAAACTAAAACTAAACTTTGGCAGCCCAGGAAGGGCAGGTATAGGGGGTGTTCTTAGAAATCATCAAGGAGAAGTTGTGGCACTTTTCTCAGGACCAATAGATCTTGGTGACTCAATTCAGGCAGAAACTCTTGCTCTCTTACAAGGCTTAAAGCTGGCTGAGCAGATTGGAGCAACAGATTTAGAAATTGAAGGAGAATCACTACTGGTCATTTCTTGGGCAAAACAAGCCACTTCAGCACCTTGGAAGCTCAAATTTATCTATAGGAAAATTGACATCCTTGCACGGAGGTTCAACTCTCAGTTTGGTTGGGTAAAAAGGACTGCAAATGGTTTGGCGGATACCCTAGCAAAACAGGGAGCAAATAGACCTACTTTGTTCTGGGCATAGCTGTAACTGTTTGTATTTGTTTTTAGCTTGGGTCAATGCAGTGCTGAAACCTAACTCTTGTAATTCAATATTATCTCTGATTTTAATAAAAGTATTATTTGCTTATCAAAAAAAAATACCACTTGCTCTCCCACTTCTAATTCTTGCATCCATACATTTACTCACTATTAACACCCATCTAATATTTGTCTCCCTTTCCACAAAAGCCATTTGAGTAGGACCAAAGATCTCATGCAAGACAAATTTCAGCATTCTTGACAACACCTTTGCAAGGATTTAATAAGGGATAGTGATTAAACTTATTGGTCTAAAATCCCTTATTCTAGCAGCTCTCTCCATCTTAGGTATAAGAGATATAAAAGTAGCATTTGCACTCTTCTCTATTATAGTTTCCTTCCAAAACTCCTTGAAATTTTCCATCAAATCTTTCTTCACAATATTCCAACATGATTTGAAGAAAGTTATGTTGAAACCATCCAGACCTGGAGCTTTATCCCCTTTCAGGACATTAGCTGCTCTCCACAGTTCCTCCTCTTCAAACTCCCTTTCCAACCAATCTTTCATAAAATCCCCAATTTCCATCCAACTCTCCTAGGAAATATTATATGTTTTGAAATGACTGAATTAACTTAACATAAAATTCCCTTTTCATGTCTGCAATCTCCTTCTGGTCATCCACCACTGTATCTTACTCTTCAAGCTGGAATATGAAATTTCTTCTCCTTCTTCCTCTTACCATTGCCTAAATGAAAGTGATATTGTTATCCTCTTCAAGCTGGAATATGAAATTTCTTCCCATTCTTCCTCTTACCATTGCCTAAATGAAAGTGATATTTTTACCCCCTTCCTTCAACCATAGTGCTCCTGATTTTTGTCTCCACCATCACCTCTTCAAGGAACACCACCTTTTTCAGTCCTGCCTTGATGCCTTCCCTTTCAGACCTCTCTTCATTTGATAATGCATCCACATCCTCCAACCTGTCCATCCTTTCCATCTTCTCAAGAAGATCCCTTTTCTGGCTTCCACGTTTCCAAACATCACTTTATTCCAAACTTTTTAGATCTTCCTTTAATAAGTGTAATTTTCTTAGGACAATAAAGCCTACCCTTCCTTGAACTTGATAATTATTCCTCCACAAACTAAAGGAATCGAAGATGCCCAAACAACATCCATTACCATATAAAACAGATACTTGCCTTGGGTTTAACTCAGATCATAAAAGTTGAATCCAAATACCATATATTATATATATGGTTAATACTTACTTGCATACATGCATAGCACATGCTCTTACACTAGTAATTTCAAATATAAAAGGTCTAAGCCCTCCAATTTCACATAATTCCTTAACAGCAATGGTTTATGATCTGAGATTGTGGATATAATTCCCCCCACTCACCATTGAACAAGAACCTGTCCAACCTTCTAAGGATAGGAGGATCTTGACAATTTGACCATGTGAACTTTGATCCTACCACCCTTGCCTCCATCAATTTATTTATTATAATAAAATCTCCAAAACTTCTCATTGACTACCTGGCATATTCGAAGTTGTTTAGACTTCTAGTTGGTTATGCAGCATTGCAGCAACAGTTGGAGTTGGACTGTGTGTGAAACATACCTGACCGAACAGCTCTCCCTCTTCTATTCAGTTCTGCCATGAAAATAAAACCCTAAAAACACAACACTCTTCTTCTAATAAAAAGAGTGATAATGTGTGATAGGTTCTATTGTAATAACAAAAACTAACCAATAACTATTTGCAGAAAAAGAAAAGTAAAAAACAATATAAAAATATTAAAGGATCAATGTATTAAGGGATATATATCATGTATTAATGTGTTTTGCATCTAGTCTAGGCGTGCGCCTTGGAGTTAAGTGCCCGCCTAGTCGCCTAGGCGTGCGCCTAACTGACTGGGCATGCGCCTTATAAAAACTTTGCATGGCAAATCAAAGGGTAGGGCCTAAGAGCATCATATATATAATAAAGGCCCTTTTGGTTGAATCTTGTATCCACAATTGAGACAGCAAGAGTTGTTGGAAATTCTTTGTACTGATGCTTGCAATATCAACAATATCCATGATTACAAAAGCAGAAAGAAAAAGAAAATGACAGGAAAGGATGCAGTAAGGATTACAGAAATTGAAGAATGGTGTACAATGTTCAAACCTTTTCATGGTGTTTCTTTGAGTGTTCAGCACCAGAATCATGTTGTCCATTTTTGTCTTTCTTCTTCTCCTTATCTTTTTCTTTACTTTTGTCCCTGTGATGGTGTTTGTGCTTCTTACGTTCCTTGTCTTTATCCTTATTCTTGTCCTTGTGCTTTTTATGCTTTTTTTCCTCGTCTTTGGACACACTTCTTGATTTTCCTGCAATGGTAGGAATCCCCTTTTCTGCCTGTTGAATACCAATGAGACAAACAGATCAAAATATCTGATTATACATACAAAACCATCAACATATTGGAAACAAGATGTCGAGCCATTTCAAATCCTGTAACATCTAGGGATCACACACTCCCAAAGTGAACCTGCATTCTACCTAAGATGTACATCCAACTACACCATATCCAAGGTACATCAAAAGATAGCAGATTTCCACAGGATAATTCTTACAGAAGGAAGATCAATTGGAGCTGTTTCTCTCAGCAGGAATGCTTCTCTGAGAGTATCCAAGTCAAAAGGCTGAATGTGTGCATTTGTATTTCTAGCATATAAAGTGTTCTGGAAGAGCTGATCCAATTCCATCCCTTCTCCTTTTCTAATTTCTGTGTCTCCAACCACATTGTGAAGATAACATGTATCTGAGATTGACAAAGGAAGTGATCTCTTGCAGAAAAACTCATGATGTGCCCACAATTTGTAGTGATTTATAAGATCTGCTGCACCAGTAAGTTCCTTACGCCCTAAATATTCACACAAAAAAGCCTCAGTTAAACTATAAAATCCAAAGCTAAAGGCAACAGGGATACTGAATGAAGAATTTCCTATTTATATTCTAAAATTACCTCTTCCAAACCTCTTGACTTCAGGATCCATCAAAGACATAGAAAGGACACTACCATTCCTTATCTGAGAAGAAAAAAAATAAAAAGAAAATAATGATAATAATACCTATATCAAAGTCTAAATCTGCAACTCCAAAATCTTAACCGGAATCATACACTAATGGATCATCTACCAAGGTTAAATTGGAATTATCTAAAAAAACAAGTACAAGATACAAAAGGCTACAAAACCAGCTACCAAGGAATTTATGTATAAAAATTCCACCTCATTTCTGAAATTTAGAAACAAACTTCCTTCTATCTTTGTTCCCTCTGATAAAGCAAAAAACAGGGGTCATTGCTTCGTGTAATTGCCTTGCTCCAAGTCTGAAAGCTAGCCCACCCTTTGAATTAGAATGGCTTAATTGTGGAGGGTGACTGTCAAGTAGTAATATGCTGGATCATAGATAAAATGCCATTTCTCAATATCCTGCATTTTGCTGTGAGAGGGTGAGGAACTAAGATGGGAGGGAAAATGGAGGGGATGGAGTTCGTGCAGGCAGGTCAGTGGAGGAGATCCTTGAAGATAGAAGCAAAAAATCTCCTGTTCGAAGAGATGAGAATCAAGGGGAAGGTAAGCCTGAAGGTAAGGGAAGCGAAAAAGGGTACAATATTGCTGGA